CAGGAGAGTGTGCTGTTAGACTCCTACAGAGAACAGTGTTCAATGCTGTAGGTCTTCTGGTAAGACATGGGGCTGAAAAGAGCCCAGTACAATTGGCTCTGTGTAGGTCATGCGGACCCAACGAGGAGCATTTCTGGTAAAGAGATGGTGGCATAATGAGATCAAAAGAACAAGTCTCTAACTGGCTCTGACGAAATGGATGAACTTTGGATAGGAGCGGGGCAGTGTCCTCTTGCAACAGGAGGGCAGAGAGAGGATGAGTGAAGATGGAAGCAGTGGTGTTAATGTGGTATTGAGAAGATTAGGTTTCTCTGCTAGAAGCCAGTCAGTCATGGTATGAGGCAGGAAAATAAAGATAAATAAGGTACACACTGAGATTCAGGTTGTTTACTCATGAAGCTGGGAAGATAAAAAACTACATTTGTATTATATACTATTATAAATTCTGTAACAAGGTAATTATAGAATATTAAGGGAGAAAACTTGCAAAATGACAGCACCCGTGAACTGTTACAAGTTCTGTATACACCTAGAATAGCTATTATAGTGTAATACCTGGAATAGCCACTAAAAAAGCTATACAAAGAGATTTACATGATAATGTTACAGATAAATCAAAATAGAATTAAAAAGGTTTAAGAAATACATAGAAAGGCAGGACAAAGAAATTAAAAACAGGATGAAACAAAGAAATGAAGTGGTAGACTTATGCTTTAATAAATCAATAATTACATTAAATGTAAATGGTCTAAATGCATCAATTAAAAGACAGAAATTGGCAAAGTGAATACAAATATAACCGCTATTAAGATATGCTGTATATAAGAAACTCATTTCAAACATAACAATATTGTAAGCTAAAAGTTAAAGAATGAAAAAAGTTACGTTATGCAAGCATTAATCGAAAGAAATTAGGAGCAGTGATATTGATATCAGAAAAAATAGATCTCAGAGCAAAGAAAATGACCAGAGACAGAGTGGAACATTACATGATGACAGAAGGGTCAATCCAACAAAATATAGCAATCCTAAATGTACATATACTAACTAACAGAGCTGCAAAATATGTGAAAACAATCTGACGGAACAGAAGAAATAAACAAATCCACAATGATAGCCAGAGACTTCAACAACTCTCTCTCAACACTAGAGTGATTAGACAGAAAGTCCAGAAAAGATACAAAAGAACATCTAACAAGATAAATATAATTGATATTAACAGAACACTCCACCCAACAACAACAGAATACACATTCTTTTAAGTGCCTATAAAACATATACCAATACAAACAGTATCTTGGTTCATAAAAAATACTCAACATATGTATAATAATTGAAATCATACTGAATATGTTCTCTGACCATAAAGGAATCAAACTAGAAACCAATAAAAGTTAAGATTAAAGGAGATCTCTAAGTACTTAGAAATTAAATAACACACTTCTAAATAATCCATGAGTCAAAGAAGTCTCATTGAACTGAATGATGATGAAATACCACACATCAAAATTTGTGGGATAAAGTTTATAGCAGTGCTGAGAGTCAAATGTATAGCACTAAATACTTATTACATCATAAAAAAGAACAAATCTCAAATCGATAATCTAATCTCCCTCAAGAAACTAGGAAAAGAGCAAAAATGTACCCAAAGCAAGCAAGAGGAGGGAAACAAAGATAAGAAATCAGTGAAACTGGAACAGAAAAACCAAATAGATAATACTAATGAAACAACACGCTAGTTCTTTCAAAAGATAAATACAGTTAATAAACCTCTAACAAGACTGATAAAGAAAAAGAAAGAAGACAAATGATGAGTATTAGCAATAAAACAGGGGCTGACACCACAGATCCTGTAGTCATCAAAAGGGTAATAAGGGAATACTACAAACAACCCTATAGGCATAAACATGACAACTTAAGTGACAGAGACAGACTTATTACTGAAGAACACAGTACCACAACATAACCAGTATGAAACAGATAATCGAATAGCCCTATGACTATCAGATAATCTGAGAAGCTCTATAACTATTAAGAAAATAGATTTATCTTTTCGCCGAGATGGAGTCTTGCTCTGTCACCCAGGCTGGAGTATAGTAGCTCGATCATGTTTCACTGCAACCTCTGCCTCTTGGGTTCAAGCAATTTTCCCATCTCAGCCTCCTGAGTAGCTGGGATTACAGGCTTGCACCACCACGCACAGATAATTTTTGTATTTTTAGTAGAGATGGGGTTTCACCATGTTGGTCAGGCTGGTTTCGAACTCCTAACCTTGTGATCTGCCCTCCTCAGCCTCCCAAAGTGTTGGGATTACAGGTGTGAGCCTCCACGTCTGGCCAGGAAATATAATTTTTAAGTTTAAAAATCTCCAGGCCCATATGGTTTCACTGGAGATTCTGCTAGAACCTGGGAGGCGGAGGTTGCAGTGAGCCAAGATTGTGACACTGCACTCCAGCCTGAATGACAAGAGCAAACCTCTGTCTCAAAATGTGTGTGTGTGTGTGTGTGTGTGTGTGTGTGTGTGTGTGTGTGTGCGTGCATTCCAATTTTACAAACAGAGACCCTGAAGCAGAGAGCAGTTCAGAGGCTATGCCAAGGTTGCAAAACCACTAAGTAGTGGAGTGGGGATCTGAACCCCTGGAGTGGGGCTGCTGTGCTCTTAACCACTAAACTAGACTGTCTCTTAATCTTTAAGAGCACAAAGGCAATGAGGAGAAAAGGAAGCCTCAGACGGGAATGTTCAAAAGCACAGAGTCTGAGGTGATCTGAGGAAGGGCAGGCAGGTATAGCAATCTGAAGCTCTTATAGACACCTTTTTATTACAGTGGCACATGGGCTGGTTGAACCAATATTGGCAAAGACAGCCAGATATAATGTCAGAAAAGGTTAAGGATTTTCGTACACTGTACTCCGTTTATCGAGGCAAGGGATTCTTAAAAGATTTTGGGTTTAAGGTACAAACTCTGATTCCATTTAGAGAAATCATTTATGTTAAATGTTCAATTATCTCAGAATGCCGGGAATGAGTGTGTGTGAGTGTTGTGTGTGTGGGTGCACAGGCTACGCTTTCTCAGGGATAAAGCATAGTTTGGTCTTGAAGAGAGAAAAATACCATATCACTAGTCTTGTTTAAAAGTATGGGAATTACAATTTTGTCATTAGACCAGGTTATAATTACAGGCCAAAGCAGGACAACTTAATGCAATCACTGTTGAAGCAATAACTTAAACTATCATATGCAAAACCACGGTCTGGAGTCTCAATTAGGAAAAAGGGATTACTGTATAATATTCATTCTGTCAGTTCCTTTTATTGTAAAAATAGGAAGGTATACTCATATAGGAATTAAATGCAAGAATAAGGGATCTGACCTGTACATTCGTGACACAATATTATCCATAAGTACAGAATGCAAGGGAGTAGCTTAAAAAGCCAAATGAGTCAACTAAAAGCTCTTACTGTCTTAGAGAACATGTATAGTACATCATTAATAATGCTTATTAAAATTGAGTTTTCATTGGAAACACTCCTGGAAATAGCTCAGAAAATTATTTCCAAATTTACAAATGTTTGCAGATTGAAACAGTCTGTGAACCCTTTTTCTAATAAAAAGCATACATAATTTACATGTTTGATATGACTTAATCCATAATCTATGTATCCAAGTCACTTAATGAGAAAAAACACAAAGGGATGAAATCATTTGCTTATCATCACATAGATGAGAAGCCAAAATTAGGAGTGAAGCCATTCTACATTTCTGCTACGATTGCTGTTTTGCAGATATCTGGCTGCCCTGGTAGGTACTTCTGGAAACAAACCAAAGGTCTCTAAAAAACTCAAAGCCCAAGTGGCCTTCTTTGCCCAGTTAATCTTCTTGCACTGGGTATTCTCTGCTTGCCAATCTGGTTTCCAGACTCCTCAAGCTCTTTTCCCGTCTTGGTGCCTCAGTTTCTCTCATGAGATGAGCAACCCCTTTTGTGACCTCATAGCCATGCTCTGCTCAGATACCCTTTCTCGAAATTCTCCTTTGACTTTTCTTTAACCTCTGCTTATTTTCTATGTACCTTATTTGTATTTGCAAGTCTGGACAGCAAATCATCTGCATAGCATCTCATGATACCTCTCTGTTAAGTTCACTATTCCGAAATCAATAGCATAGCATTAGTATTTTGTGTTGCATACAAAAATGACTTGTTAAAAAAAACTCTCTGAATTGTCTTTCTACCCATCACATGTATCTAAACTTGACAAAACACAACATACAGGATGAGAAAAATAAAACAGAAGTATAGAAAAATCTGTCTTTAGTGTTTTAAAACTTGCTTTGAAATACAAACATTTCTTGAAATGCAGAAGTGAATGTGATGAATGTTAAGTGGATATTTTTTCACCTTAACTGACTGATCAGAAGAGTATTTATAACCCTAACTGATGTCTTCAGCTGATAAATCAACACCAGGGGAGAATATTTCAAGCACATTTATCATTGAAGACAAACAGCCTATACGGAGCATGATTATTTTTTATTCATCATTTTGGCTCACCTCTACATTTGCTCCTTCTCAATGTTAATAATATCTATATTAAGACTTCTCAATATTTAATGTTACAGATTGCTTGTTGCATGCTGATGAGGTTAAGGTCATATATCTGATCTCCAGAATGCCAATTAGCTTCACATACACACAAATAAATAAAAAAGATAAAAAAAGGGAGGGGGGGCTCTGTCTATTTCTGAGGGAAGCCTGATCTTAGCTTCCTTGTAATACCCATTGCTGGTCTCAACATCATAAAAATTACAGAATTCAAGGTGTAAGGGAAATTATGGGCAGCTATTTTAACATACTGGCCCAACTGTATGGAAGCTCACACTAAGCAGAGGAAAGACCAGCAGCCTGGAGTGCCACCATTCAGTTCAGTTAACACTCAGCACAGTCCATCAGGTCACTGTTGTCAGTGTTACCTCCAAATGATGGTGACATAAAAGAGAATCTTACCTGTTCATTCTCCTCTTCATCGCTGCTTAGCTTAAGGTCATCTTCCAGCATTCTGAAAGAAGGAACAAAGGGGTGCAGATAGTCAGTAAATTCAGAATAATTCAGCACAAAAAAAGTCACCTTTATTAGAGCAACATTTCAGGAATAAGTGTATTTGATTTCCTAATTTTTTTCTTTCCTTCTTACGCACTTTTCCTCTGCTGCACTTAGGAAACAGCAGACAGTCCCTTCATAAAAATTAACCCTCACAGCAGTCATCAGCTAAGACGGGCAGCTTTCAGAGGATGCTGTGTTAGCAGGGAAATCATACTTAACAATAATGTATTGTATATTTCAAAATTGCTACAAGAGAAGAATTGGAATGCTCCCAACAAGAAAAAAAGATACATATTTGAGGTGATGAATATCCTAGTTACCCTGATTTGAACATTACACATTAAATACCTGTACGAAAATATCACATGTACTCCAAAAATTGCAATAAAAAAGAAGATGCTTTTTTTCCCCCCAAAAATACATAGGGGCTTTTCCTTGGGCAGTTTGCATTCCACAGTTACTTGTTTAGTGTCTTCCATGCTCCCAGTGCTGGGCTGTATCCCCACGCCTGCCCTGGGGGCTTACATGGTAAAGAGAGGTGAGAACAAGAGCCATAAAACCATAAACTCAGGCCATCATTCAAAGAGCTGGAAAAGACGTTGTCTCCCAAATCATACCGAGTGGGGAAAACAAAGCAGGAGAGCGCTTTCTGAAAAGCCTGTGAAGGTGATTCCCCAGCCCGCTCAGGTCCCCCCATTCACCCTCAGGAGACAGTGGGGAAGCATGTTAAAAGTGAAAAAAAGAAACACAACTTCAGACTGCTATTTGTGATGATAGTACTGTATTCTTTTCAGCATGCTGAATTGTTTCTTTATAGAATAGTAGTTTTCAGATTAATTCATTTCAAAAGAAATCTTACTCAGAAGTGCACTGTATAAAAGCGTGCTCTCCGCTCAGAGCCGCTCGGCCAGGAAGCAGGGCAGAGCCTGCTTCTGAGGGACCCTGGGGCTCCATACATCAGTGTGAAGGCTGCCAAGCCCTTGTGCTCAAAGGCCTCATTGAAGAGCTTCCAAAGGCTGTCCCCTAAAATGTACCCAATGTCTTTTAAAAGCCGGTTATAGTCCTGTCACTGATATATGCTCTGAACATTGGTAGAAGTCATTTCAGTCACTTTTGGGGTGAACTGGGGGGTAAAGAACTGGTAGCATAAGGCAAGGCCCCAGCTCTGCCCCACCTGTCTATGCATTTGGGGCAAGTCACTTCACGCACGCTGCCCCCATTTCCCTACTTGTGAAGTGACGAGTTGTAGAGGGCAATCCTAAGGTCAAATCCTGCTTTAGATTGTGAGCCTACAAAATGAATATGCTCCCCAGTTTCGTCAAGTAGAAAAATGCTTTTATTTGTTCTAGAGAACACAACGAAGAAACTTCTAAGTAGTTTTGGGGTACCATTTAAGCCATTACCATCAGGGCATCAAATCTCTTCCTCACAGGCTCCTCTCCCAGTGCCGAGAGGTGTCATTCTTGTATTATTTAAACCACAAGTGAACAAATGAACATGTCAGCAGAGGCTGCAGAGCGGCACCCCCGATTCCTCTGCACGTCCAGCATACCATTCATTTCTTTCACCTCCAGACATATACGCTCTGCTTCAAAGAGAAGAGACCGCTCCGTGATTTATTAGCGCATTGTTCGGGAGCAGCCTAGGGAAGGGGACTGTGTTTCCTTTGTCCTTGAGTTCTCAGTGACCAGCACAGTGCACTGTGAAGGGAGCACAATATCAGTTTGCTGGCTGGGCTGAGGCGCCTTGCCTAAGACCATTTTCCTACCCAAAGGCACAGATAACTTACTAATGAAAAAGACCGGAGAAGGGGAGGTGTCCTTGCCTCCACTCCCGTACCCCACTGCAGTGTGGTTTAATCTCCAGGACTGCTCAGCAAGCACTGGGTCTTTTAACGGTGGGTGGTCCTGCTGGTGGGGGTGGAAAGCGTGAAGAGAACTCACAATCATGGTTAACAACCCCTCTGCTGTCAGAGGGAAGTCGTGTGGCTGGGAAATTTAACCTTTAAATGGACAATAGTGTGCCTGGATTGGAAGGCCACCGTCTCCCAGAGCAGGAGAGCCCAACACGCCCCGAAGTGAGAGAGCTTAGGCTGGCAGCAAACGAGCCATGCAACTCACTTACCACCTAAGGCTGGCATGGATGAAAGTCACTGCAACAGTCTAAACGCTGTGTGAGGCTGTCTTTCAAGGTAGAGAATGCAGCGTATTTTTGTTTATTTCAAACATGTGCTAAATGTGTCCATACATAAACACGTGTCTGTTTGAATCTCAGAGTCCCTTGTACCACAGTCCCGTGCGAGGTGCACCTCTGGGGCTATTTGTGCTTCTGTAATGAGAGTCATCTATCTCATCGTCATTTCCAGAAGAAAAGCAGTAGGCGATCAACCTTGCTTTGTGAATAGTCATCACTCTATCACTGACTTTACCTCTCTTATATTAAATAAATGAATTTATTGTGTTTCTGGCTAGGTTCTAAAAACAACAAATCACATGTAAAAATACTCTGCCTTCAAGAGAGACTTCAAGGGAAGTTCAAATCTAATTAAACTTCAGAATATCTCAAAATATGAGAAAGTGGCCATGGAAACACGAAATCACACCCTTATACAACGTTCCCAGAGCAGTCCTGGGTAGTGCTATTCCCAAAACGTGAAGTCACAGACTGAGGACAGACAGCCATGGCCATGCCGCAGCCCAACCCCGAGAGGCACACAGGCACACCCGAGGTCCTTGAGCAGGAGCTTTCTGCTTTATTCTGATGGTCATGAGCAGGCCCTCGGCTCAACTCCCTATACATGGCGCTTGTTCTTGTCGGTGACCACTGCATCTTCAAGTCCAGTTTAACATTCACAAACAACTCCATGTTTAAAACATATCTGGGTGGACTCTTAAGAGGGCCCAAGGAAGGGCTGAAGTTCATAGCTGAACAATGAAACATGGTTAGGAGAAGAGAAAACGTGTGACACCCATAGGATCATAGAACTGTCTATACTTGGTATGTGGCCAGCAGATGGCAGGCATGGCCACCGTCACCAAACACACGAACGGCACTATGGGGGTCATGTGCCAGACCCATTCCCAAACCCTGGGGAACATTTTTATCATTTGTCTATTTCCAAAAGGAAACAGATTGGCATAGGTATATGAAACAATAAACAAATGGACAAAGTGTTCAACCAAGAGTATAAGGAGATGCAAATTAAGTGCTGGATAGGCGACTGGGCAGGTGTGGAGATCTCCCACTGCGTTCTTTTTTTTTTTTAAAGGGAAGGCAAAGACCCTGCTGCTCTAAGGGGTCCCCTGAGGGCTGCGTCCGGGACTGGCCATCTGTATGGAAGCACAGGGCCTGTGCGTCCACAGCACCCTGGCTACACCCCTACTCTTGGTTCCTCCAGGCCCGACCTCAGTTGAAAGGGCCCCCACCCAGGGCCACCCCTTTCAGGGTTCCCTTAGCCCCTCCCCTTCATAGCCCTTCAGATCCCTCCCAGGGGATGGAGCCCTCAACTCATAGCAGCAGCTCTCACTGTTGAAGGGATGTCTGACCGTGCCAGACCACCTAAGTGCTTTCTAGATGTTACTTCGTTAATCCCTGCAGCAACTCCTCTAAGTTGGGGAATGGGCGCTATAGGGGCTGCAGACTGTGGTGGTCACAGAAGGGACGCCAGGATCCTACTGCCCAGGACGAATGCTAGCTCTGCCTTTCATCTAGCCCAGGGCCCTGGGACCTGCCTCAGAGCGCTTCCCGGAGAACTTATTCCTCAATCCTTGGATAGTGCTAAGCGTGGGACCTGCTACCAAAGAACCCCCAGTCAGTGCTCATTTTTACCAATATTCCTTTTTCCTTAGGAGGGAAGCAGGCCTCAGAGCATTTAAGAAATTCATGTGGATAAAGAAGTCAAGAGACTTTGAGATGTCTTTGTAATGATGCCTAATGCTCTACTTTCAGGCCATATTGAAAGAAAGGGTGATGTTCCCGAGAGATGGTGGAGGGGAGTATATTTTGGCCTTCAGCTGCTCTCCGCTGGTCTGAATGGTTTATGTGCCCATCAGTCCCACTGCACCCGGAGGTCTGCCCTGGGATCCAGTCGCCATGAGGCCAGGAGTCCCTCCAAGTGGGGGTTGCGGGGGGTGCTGCCAGATGACAATGGGGAAGTTGAAATAAAATAGATACTAAAACTGAACTTTTCAGCTGGGTACAGTAGCTCACTCCTGTAATCGCAGCACTTTGGGAGGCCGAGGCTGGCAGATCACTTGAACCCAAGAGTTTGAGATCAGCCTGGGCAATATGGCAAACTTCTGTCTCTATAAAAAATATAAAAATTAGACAGCCATGGTGGTGTGCACCTAGCTATTAGGGAGGCTGAGGTGGGAAGATTGTTGTGGTGACTTTCAAAAGCCCTGGAGGTCAAGGCTGCAGTGAGCTGAGATTGTGTCACTACACTCCAGCCTGAGCATGAGACCCTGTCTCAAAAAAAAAAAAAAATTGAACTTTTTGAATTGAGACCAGAGAGCAGAGGTGCAGTCTGAGGTGTGGACACACCTGGGCTTCATGGCCTTAACACCTGAAGAGTTATCAAACTACTGTCAGGGATACTCCAAGTTAGCACCTCATGGTAACTTCAGAGTCTGAACCAGGTACGGGAGAATTGTGACACTTTAAGGACACAAGCAAGATTTAAAAAAAAATATGTTATTAAGTGATTGAGATTCCACCTATTTTTACTTGGGATCTTGTTCTTAAAATGATTGTTGGGCATGTTTTAATACCCTTCCTGACACACGCAGACAAGGAGTCTAAGGGTTTTGAGCCCCCACCTACACTGGCTCACACTTTTATGCAGGGAGAGAGGGTCTTGCAGGAGCTCTGTAGAGGAAAGAAAGCAATGGGACTTTGATTCAGAACTCTAAAGAGGGAGCCAAAGATAAACAAGCCCATCTGCAGTTTGCCGCCTCC